TTTATTTGTAATTGTTTTTATGTATTTATTCTTTTTAATTGTTGTACGCTGCCCAGAGTCACCTTGTGTGAGATGGGTGGCTATATAAATATAATAAACAAACAAACAACTGCAAGGGCACTTCCACTCCACCCACCCAGCTATCTCCCCCTGCACTCCATGGCCCCTGCCACCGTAGCTGATTTTCGTCATCTTCTTGCTCCCACTGCTGACCAAGCATGCCTGGCCTGGCCCTTTGCAAGGCAACTGTTGGCCACATGAGGCTTTCTTCCCAAGATTTCGTATGGGAGTTTCCTTGTGAGACCTGGGGAAGATGGCCTCACATGGCCAGCAGCTGCCTTGCAAGGGCCAAAACTCTAGAGATGGAGAACCACAGCCTTCATAGGTAGACTGTTCCAATGTTGCATACCTTGTCAGCAGCGGGAGCAAGAAGAGGGCAAAGGTCAGCTGGGGCAGTGGAGTGCAGGGCAGTGAGAGCGACTGCGGCTACAACTGGGATGGGATGGCTAAGGCTTCTTGGGGCAGCTGGGGCTTCATGCTGCGCTGCTGGGGCAGCTGGGGCTTTGTACCAGACTGCTGGGGTGGCTGCAGCTTTGTGCCACGCTGTTGGGGTGGATGGGGCTTCCCAGGGCAGCTGCAGCTTCACACCACACCACATTGCTGGGGTGGCTGAGGCTTCCTGGAGCAGCTGTGGCTTCATACTGTGCTGTGGCTTAGGGGCTTCTTGCAACTCCAGTGCTGCGGGGCACCAAGAAGCCCGACGCACAGCATGGCAAACACCCCAGAGCTGTGTGGTTCTGGGGTTGCTTGCTACCGCTCAAGTCAGGGTACAGGGTAGTCAAAAGGGGGGGACAGGCAGTTGGGATGAGTTGAAGGGGAGGCAATCCCTTACCTTGGAAGAACTGAGGCTTGGGGCTAGGAGGGACCAAGCCTGGAATGGTTTGGATTATGGTGGGTCCTCGGCTAACAACCAGTGGAATTTGGTTAACAATGGCAATGGGGATTGCTGGGATTGCAGTCGCTAAGCAAGGCGGACATGTGACATCACGCTTTACGACCGCATCATTTAGTAATGGAAACTCTGATCCCAATTACCATCGTAACTCAAGGACTACCTGTATTTGTTATGTCATGAAATATCACAAAAAGCTGAAAGCCATGTAAAAATCTTTTCAAAATCTGATTTTTCTTTCCCACTGTGAAGTATTTCCTATTGCCAATTAATAAGCTGTAGTAGTATACTTCTTTCTTTGTGTATTTCTTTTAATTTCTTCCTTGCATGTGAAGACATATCCTTGTAAAAGAACAGGTGTGCTATATTCAGTTACTCTTTAGAACCATTACTAATTATTGTACGAAAGTGTCAAGTGGTGTACCACAGAGCTCAGCTGTAGGGTCTGGGTTATTTAAGATATTTATAAATGATTTAGATGAGAGTTTATAAATATAATTATCAAAGCTGCAGACAACACAAAAATAGGGGGGAGATTAGAAACACCTTAGAAGACAGTATCACAATTCAGGAGAATCTTAACAAGCTAGGACAGTGGGCAGAAATGATTAAGATGAAACTCAAAAGGGACAGATGCAAAGTCATACAGGAAAAATCAAAGGCATAAGTGTAGGATGGGAAGGACCAAACTGGGCAGCAGTATATGCAAAAGGGATCCGGCTGTCTTGATGGATCATCAGGTGAACATGAGCTTCCAAAAAGCAAAAGCAATCCTAAGATGCATCAAGAGAAATATAGAGTCTAAGATAAAGTCAGGTCATAATTCCTCTCTATTTTGCTTTGGCCACATCACACTTAGTATATTGCATCCAGTTCTGGGCACATTTTAGGAAGGACACTGACAAGAATGTGCAGAGAAAAGCAAGTAAGATAAAGGGACTGGAAGGAAACCCCTGAGGAGCAACTGGATGTATTGGATATGTTTAGCCTGCAGAACAGAAGACTGCAGAGAGACATAACAGCTGTCTTCAAATATCTGAAGGGCTGTTGTTTAGAAGATGGGGCAGAACAGTTCAGATTTGTTCCAGGAGATAGGACAAGAAACAATGGATTTAAAATACAAGGAAGTGGATTTTATAACAGAAATAAATATATGTTCCAGCAATAAAAGACCATTCATAATAGATTTGATAAACCAATAAAGTGTAAACCAAACAACTTTCAAGAAAATTGTTTGCCTTTTGCTTTATTACTCAATATGTCTAAAATGTGCTTGCAATTACTATGAGCTGAGCACATACCAGATTAAAAAACACCCAGTTAGATATTACAGACTAAAAACTGTTTTCCTTCCCACAAAAAAACCTTCTGTGTGAAAACTGATATTACAAAACATGACATTGATCAAAGCCATATTCACTTGTATTATTAATTCAAATATATTTCCTTAATTCTTCTTTCTTCCTTTCTGCAAAATGCAATTGTTCATTACAACAATTAAGGTGACACATTATGCTGTTTCATAATATAATTTGCTTAGTTTTGGCTTACAATGTTGGATAAACTGAGCTAACTATGGCTTGGTCAACAGTCCATGAAAAAAAATAGCTTAATATAAGATGTAAACCAAGCTAGGTTCATATACTGCACTAAGCCTTGGGTTAGTTAACCATAATTTGTTGAATAAGCCATACTGACTTTGAATAAGTTCATACCATTAAGCCAAAAACCATGGGTTTATAAACCATAAAGACTGGATTCACACAGTGTATTAAGCTACAATGTAGTTTCTTCAGTTTTGGCTTAGCATGTTGTATGAACATGTATTGAGAAATAAAGACCTTTTCAGCAATGGCATCCTGCCTCCACAACTTTTGCTCCATAGAATTTTGCCTGCCATTCTCTTTGTTTTCTTTTTGGCATGAGGCAACACATTTGTTATTTAACCAAACCAAACCAAATGATTTATGCTGCAAATCTATAGTTCTCTTTGGGGAATAAGCCATGTTAAATGTAATGGGATTTACATGTCTTAAATAGACAAGTATAGGATATGTTATATTAACCTACATGTTAACTTTATGGTGGTAATTGATATTAGTCTAGAGATATCTGATTTGCAATTGTGTCTGTTAAATGTTGTCCTATTTTCTTTTTCAATTTTGAAAGCTACTATGAGAGTTTAGGCTGAAGAGCAGCTAACAGTATGCATAAATAAATAAAGAACTCAGAGCAACTGGTGTTAATCGGCAGAGTTCTGATCCATGCCACTTGATCACTATTATACGGCATCTCCCACCAGTGAGCATGGCTAATAAATGTTGATTGCTCCATCCATGGTTAATTATTGTTATGAATATATCTTAATAAACCAGAATACCTGGTTTATGTGTTATACAAATAAATTATGCACAGAGGCATCTAGGTTTACCCATGCCTGGAGGCAAGAAGAATTAAACAAGAGTGATCAGCATGCTAGTTATTATCAGATATGCCAGAATTAAAAAACAGACAAAGAAGTAGCTGCCATACTTTGATACAAACACATACATACTCTATCATTCCAACTAAGATACTCTTGATCTGTTTCTGTTTGGATACAAATAGAAAGGGGAGCAAACTGCCATTTTTGATTAGGATAGACAGCTAAGTTGAAGCTTCAGGGCTCTGTAAGAAAAACAAAAAACTCCAGGTGCTATAAAATCATTTCATTACTGTCTAGCACATTTCAGATACAAATCCTTCCTCAAGGGCTAATTTCAAAATTCCCCCTATAAATTCCATACCAGCTTCCATTAGAAGCTGTGTGAAAAGTTTTGAAGAAACAAAAGCCCTTCAGGATGGATTTGTACACTATCTAAAATGTAATAAACTATTTTTCTCAAGAGCCTGAAGCATTTTTGTGCCTTTGCTTCTCTCTCTCTCTCTCTCTCTCTCTTTTTTTTTTTTGTCTTTATAAAGGGATTAGAGTTAAGCTTATGGTGACTTCATCCCAAATTGAACTTGATTAAGTGTTCTGATCCTGGAATTTCTGGCTCCTTAGAGAAGTTGAAGCGAACATAATACTTCAGTCAAAGGAATTTGTACTGCTTATATCAAAAATTGTTGCTGGTCATGTCAGTGATCAGGTCAGAACCATATTTATTTATAGACCAGGTCCATCTGAGAAAAGACAGATCTGTTTGCTTGGCAAAATAATATTTTTATATACTGTCCTTAAACTTTCATATACTTGAGAAAAATATTTTAATTCCTATTCTTATAACAAATGAATTTAGGATTTATTAATATCAATAAGATATGTTGTATAAGAAACCAGATTCTGGTAGATTTATTTTATTTTAATTTATTATATTTGTTAAAAGCCACAGGCAAATGACTCTGGGTCAGGAGGTTACATAAAGTTCTGAAAAAACAGGAATGTAGCACTGAAATAAGCACAATTTCATTACACTTTACTGGCAAGTGCTAATTTATCATTTCATGCAGGGGTTATCAACTTTGCTATACCTCAGCTCCCCCCATGATAAATAATTGGTGTGATGCCATGAGATTAAAACTAAATAATTAAGAAATAAAACTGCTGTAATTGATGGTTTTGACAGTTGGCTAGACCCAGACATTTAGCCATCTCTCAAAACTTACTCTGAGTTTTGATCACTGTTTTGCCTGTGTAGCCACTACAGGCTTGTCCAGGCAAGTCAGAGCAAGTTTTGATAGTGCCCCCACTTTGCCTATGTACATCTGATCAGCTAAAAAACAAAACTGAGACCATCCCTCTAACATGCTCACAACACCCAGGGATTGCAACTCACAGTCTGAGAAACCCTGCATCAATTTTGAAATTCCAAATTTGGTTATAACATAACTGCAGATGTTAGATCTGCTAATGTCAGAAGCAAACAGCTGAAAAAAGACTGGTCTGTTACTATAACAATACTAACTAAGCTACAAATTAAAGTTGAGAATTTTTGAAATGTAAAGCAAATTTAGATTTGTATCCATAGTTAGTCTAGCAATCATAAAAATTGCAAGAATATTTACTTACTTTCTCACGTACTTTGTACATCAGCGGCAAACTTTTTTCAATTTTACAATTAGCATCTACATTAAGTATCTGCTTTTGCATTGCAGCTGTAAGAGATTCTGGATATATTTGCAGGTTTCCAGATTGTTTGAACTATAAAACATAAACAAAATAATCCATATAATTGAATATGTAAAAAGTTAACGAGATTCTATATTCTGTACTTTATTGTTTGTATTACAGCAACACCTAGAGGCTCTATATAGAAGCAGGATCTGATTCTATTTTCATTTTATAAATAACTTAAAAAACAAACAATTCCTACTTTCCAAGTTGTATGATATATAAAAATGTGTTAGCATATTATATATACCTCTTGGTTGGCGGGATTTGGACAATGTTATGTTGGCTTGCAAGGGAATCTCTAGATTAGATATCCTAGTTTGCATGGAATAATTTTACTGTGCTTTGGGTAAAATTGGTTGAGTTTCTCACATGCTGGCCAAATGTGCAAAAACTAACCCATACTGCCCTTACTGTTAGAGGAACACATACAATGGCTAGTAACCTAGTCTATAAATTCTCTATATTACAAAAAAGTGTTAGGTGAAAGTTTCAATTGACCAAAACTATAACAAATGGGCAGAGATCATTATGGGCCCATCTCCTGCAATGAGCAAAATTTGTACAATGTAGCCGCATGCCAGTTTGTGGTACAAACACCAGGTTTTTTGCTCTTCAGCAAGTCACTGAGAAATATATAAATTTAAGAAAGTTCATTGCACTTGTTAATTTAGAGAAAGTATGTTAAAAAGGGAGTAAGTCTGATTTATGGGATGAATTGCACAAATATGGAGTTTCTGAATATAGTAAGAACAATGTATGACTGGAATATAGCTTGTGCAAGAATAAAAGAAATTCTTAGAAAATGGTATAAGACAAGAAAGTATGATGTCCCTTGGTTATTTAATGTATTGATGGATAAATGTATAAACTTGTATACATTTATCCATCAATACATTATCTAAAGTTACCATAACTGTATAATGTTATGGTAACTTTAGATACATTGGTTAGGGATAGGAATATATATATATATACACACACATACATACATACATACACACACACACTTTTGTATGCAGATTATGTTGTAGTGTTGGTTGAGAAGCTGAACGATTTGCAGGGAATGTTAGACTGTATGAAGCAAGGAGGAGCATGGATCTGAAAATTAATAATTAATTAATATAGCAAAGTTGTGGTTGGCCAGGAAAATAAAATGAACAATTGCAAGTTATCAATAAATGGCAAAAAACTAGGACAAGTACAGCTGATTAATTTCTGTTACAATAGAAAAGAATATATGTAGCTCAGGGTTGAACTGAGGAGCCCTTGATGCCTGCTGAGTTTGGTTGTTTCCCTGCAGATATTTCATTACCCGACTAGGTAACATCATCAGTGCTAGTGAGCGTGGGGTTTGTACCTTGTTTATATATATACAGTAGTTTGCCCTGCCTGTGTTGGTGGAGGTATGGCTTTCTCCTTAGTAGTTCCTTGATTAGGGTATTGTTTTCTGCTTGATGATTTGTCTGGTGATAATCCCTGTTTATCTGGGTGTATTCTGCTCTTTTTGTTTCCTTCTTTGCTTTTTTATTGTCTGTTTTGAATGGTCTGTAAATGTGGTTTATCTCTATGTGTCTATTGATGTCTGATTTGTCTGAATGCCAAGCTTCTAGGAATTTCCTAGCATTTTTGGACTTAGCTTGGTCTAGGATGCTCATAGTTTCCCAGTTGAAACTATGATTGAGTCTGTCCATGTGTTGTGAGATTAAGGAGTTTTCATCCTGTATTCTGACTGCTAGATGGTGTTCATGGATGTGCTCTGCTAGTCTTCTGCCTGTCTGTCCTACACAGTGGCTGTTACAGCCCTTACACTGTATGTTGTAGACAACTCCTGTTTTTTCTTCTTGGGCTACTGGGTGCACTTCTTAGGTCTTATCAGATGACATTGTTTAACGGATGGGACGTGAAGCACATCTGCTCTGTCAGATCTTGTGGGGCAGAAATGGGAGAGAGACAATTCTTTCAGATAGCCAGGCCCTATGCCACAAAGGGCTTTATTTTAATTATACATGCCAGGTCAGCAGCTTCATTCATAAGTTATAGAAGAGGGAAGACTTGTTACACACCAACCTATTATTTAACAGCTGGAGCTCAGGACTATTGAGGATCCAATGACCTGGCAATGGGATTGAACAGTGGGAGCTGGAAGGCAGAATTGATATCAAATATTGACTTAGATACTGACATGTGCAAAAGCCGGTAGAAAGGTAGTGGGTAATAACTGGCTGCAAGAAATGAATTAATGTCAAAAGAAACAAAAATGGCTTTGTATGCATCTATCCACTTTGTGGAAATGTTATCTAGAAGTGAGAGCTGGGATTGTCAGAAGAAACATAAAAATTGAATACAGTGAGAATGGGGTAATTAAGTGTGCACAGTAAAACAAGAAGAGGGCCAAGAATGAATGGGTGTTAAATGAATTTCAATTAAATACAAAAGTGATTGACTAGTACGAAGGAAGTACATTGAAGTAGTTTGGCCATACAGAGAGAAGGAATGAGGAACAAACTGCAAAACAAATATATGGAGGAAGAGAATGGATTGAGTGGAACAAGAAGACTGAAAAAGATGTGGGTTGATGGAGATGATGAGATTCTTAAAGAGAGCTATGAGAACAGTAAAGAACAAAAAGCAATGTATGAATGGGTGTGTGTGAATTCAGCCAATTTTACTCAATGAAGTAGTACTGAACAAATTATCCCTTAGTACAGTATATAACCAATTAAACATTATCACAGGAATAAAAAAGACAATTTGTAAGAATAAAAGGCAAGCATGTTTCACTAGTAGGCTTACCATTAAGGCCAAATGAAAAGTGAAAAAGAGATTTAATAAAGTGTACCTTCAGTATGATTTAATTGTTCATATTTTCAGTGAGGGCTTTCATAAGTATGCTTTACTTTGCATGACGTAATTGCTCTCTATGTTCAATATGAAACAAATAGTCTATATTAAAACTGTGTATTCCTTATTATAACACCAGTGCAATTTGGCATTTCATAACAATAACAGTTACTGCTTTTGTCCATTGTATTATATACTCCCATTAGAGACAAAGGTAATGAGCCATTCTCTTGCCAAAAGGGGGAAAAAAGAGTGGAACTGAAAAGAACAGCAAATTAAGTAGACTGTATAAAGAAAGGAAAAGATAAACTGGAGGTTGGGAAAGGATGGAGGAGGGAAATGCTAAAAATGTGCACAAAGAAAGGCATTACTATTATCTACAATGCTTCTACATCACCATTATACTTCAACTAAAAATGAAGAACTGTTTAAGAAACCATTTTTAGAAGGAGACACTGTTAACTGTTAACATTTTGCACTGACATCAACGATATTAGAGCAGATAATACCTGTGTGCTCTATGTTAGACTGCAAATGTTATACTCAAGATGATTTATTTTAGATTATTCCTTATTCTACTCTTATGCCTCCCTTTCTCCAAGCAGTCAGAGCAACATTCAGATTTCTCTTTTCTCACAACAATCCAGTGTGCTACAACTAGCTTGAGAAACAGACTGGGCTAAAGTCACTTCCTCCAAGACCAATATAACTTATTTATTTATTTATTAAATGTGTACACTACCCATCTCCCCTAACGGGTGACTCTGGGCGGCTCACAATTAAAACCAAAAACCCAAGCCATTAAAAAACAATACCATATAAATAATTAAAATTAAGTAATCAATTAAAACCCGACTAAAAGCAACCCTATACATAAATACTAAAAAACATTCAAGATGATAGGAGGGGGGCAACTTCTTACATCACACAAGTTCTCATAGTCACACTCAAAGGGAGGACAAGATTATTTCCATATTAATTTTAATCTTTTAATCCATATTCATTTTGAGACGCCTGGCATGTACTTCCGTAAATTTTAATTCTGCTTTATGAGGTCTGAAAAGGTTTTCCACAAATTACTTATTGAGCCACACAGCAATACTTCACTGAGAGGGAATGTTTTTAGTGCTTTAGTGCAAGGGGAAGTTTCACTAGACCCATACAGGAACAGGAATCTATATATACACCAGAGAGGCCGGGTTAAAAAAGAAATGAATGGAGAAACACAAGCATCTTTCCTTGGACGAAGGAGCATTTGATACCCCTAGGTCCGGGGCTATTCCTTTTACTGCAGACCGTCCCTCTTTCAGGCTAGGCTCTTCCTCGTCTCCAAGCGCCAAATCGACCAGGTGGACCAAACTCTGGCCTGACAGTCGCTACCTTCCTTACCCAGATACCGTCCCGGGTGGTGCTCGGATTGGCCCGCCTCCCTTTCGGCATGGTGATGAAGCTGAAGCCGAGCGCTCTGACTAGGACTTCTCTCGGTTGGGGGTTAGCTCCGCCACGGAGCCGGAGGGAAGGGTCGCCTCCTCCATCTGCCGACTTCCTGAGGAGGAGAAATAAGAGGAGCAGGAGGTTGGAGAAGGCAGTTCTGGTTGCCAAGGCTACCGTTGTCGAGTTCCTTTCTTCTGCGTCACGTTGCGGGACTCCCCCCTTTCCTTCCCTAGCGGTCCAGCGCTCCAAATCGGTTTCCCGACCATTCAAGAAAAGGCGGGAAATCCTTTCTGCGTCAGAGAAGAGCAGTGGAACTTCTCTTTACTTTTCTGGTCGAGATTGAGTTTCTGGCCAACGGACATCTAGGGAGCTCAGGATTGTACAGGGAAATTGTTAGGTCATTGGCAGACCAAGGATTAAAGAAAAGCGGGAGAACCATTTTGCGCGCGGGCGTGAATAGACTCCGGGGAGAATATTCACCTTCAGTACAATGTCACCTCCATCTCTCCACAAAAGAAGTAACCACTTCTCTGAGCGTGACTTCCCAGGCAAATACATTGTCGTGTGATAGTTGAATTGCACGGTTTAATCTCATGGTGAAACCAGACCCAACTGATTCAGCGTCACATATTCCTGTCACAAGTTTTCATCAAAACATAAGCAATGACATGAGCTATAAAATGTTTTTTAGAAGTTGCCTACACGGCTGAGTCTTGCTCTCTTACAGTGACTCATCTGGAAGAAAGCTGATATATATAAGTTAGGATTTCCACTGCAAAGGACTGCAGGGAAGTAAAAAAAGTGGGAAGAGATGATCAGTGTTCATATGCTCATTTATCAGTTCACCTAATTGTCATGTATGTATGTACTCTAGATATACTATTGGGAAGCATTTGTATGAAATGTGAATTCTATTAACATTTAATTCCAGTTGCAACCTTTTATAAAATCAATTATGGTTCCCATTAAATGAGCAAACTGACAGTTTTTTTGTACTTCATTTCCTGTGTCAAAGCATTTGATCTCATTTTGAAATCAATTTTTTCACAATCCCAGTGTCATAATTTAAATTAAATTTCATAATTTTAGTATTCTTTTTCACAGTGTTTAAAACATAATGATAGAACTTACAAAATGAGCTCTGTTTAGAAAAATACATTATCCTAGATTGCTTCATAATTCCCTGCTGTGATTTCTTCTTGCCCAATTACTTCATATTCCTACTGGAGGTAATGAGACATTCTGTGAATAAGGCAAGATAAGATTTTTTTAAAAAAAAACTAAGAGAAAACACCAAATTAAGGCCTTAGAAAGATGGCAGAGTCAGAAGCTCCAAAGTTTTTTGGTTCAGGAGGTACCCCTGAAAATCTTAGAGCATGTTATAGGCTCTCTCACAAAACAGTTGCCATGGAAAGGTTTATCCAAAATGGCTATCACAGCAGTTAGACACAATGGAAGGCAAAGAGAAAATACAGTATGCTATCAAAACTTCCTCATTATGTTTTTTACTTTCCTTTTCGTATTTTACTCTTCTGTATCAGTATTCTTTATTTTTTATCAGCTTGAAGAATGTAAACTGACTATATACTTATATTTTTTTCAACAAAACAAAATGGCTATCATGTAGGTTATGGTCAGTCACAAACATTCATTTATAATTACAATGACCATACATCTTTTATTATAAAGGACAGTACTTTATTTCAGAAAGCTGTCCTTTAGATTGATTTATTTTTCAAAAACTCACTTTTATCCTTTAATTTGGTCCTTTAACTTTTACCATACACTTAATGCACAGTGAAAAATATGTGAAAAATATGGAAATTGAATTTTATATTTTATTAGAATATGCGTTTTTGTAAAGTCTTTCTTGGTTTTGCTCTTAATTTTCTTTTGTAAAGCAGTTTTAAACAATTAACCTTTTTTATCCTTACAAACCTCCTTCAGATGCCCCTTTTTCAGGTTTGTCCTTTATTTTTTCCAAGAAAATATGGTCACCATCTTTATAGTAGGCTTTCTGCTGTCCCTCCCCCCCCCTCCGTTTTTCTCCCTGGGTAAATGAACGTATTTCCAAAGAAGGCATTGGACTGCAGCCGTGAAATAAAGTTTAACAGTCTGAAAGGGACAGTCCATCTGATCCTGAGATGGAAAAAAAGCACTATTTTACTGGAGGTGACCAGGAATTTAAAAAAAAACAGTATCACCAGATGCTTTTCTCAGGGAAAAAAATTGATCGTGTCCTGCAGAATGAATTAGCAATTTTTCACTGACCTTATCAGTGATTCACTTACTAAACATTATCTGCACTTTTGTTGCTGGATAGGATCTGAGAAGTTTAGAAAATACAGTGACTGAGTTCACCTACCTGATTATTTAAATAGAATTAATTATATTGATAACACCCAATTCTATTGTTCCCTGCCATTTAAGTCCAAGAAGGAATCGGTGCCTTTGTTGCCTATGTTTGGTAATGGACTGAATGAGGGAGAAAAAAATTAAATTAAAATAAATTAAATTAAATGTAGGCAAAATGGAAGTGCTGTTGATTAATAAGAAACTGGACTCAGGGATGTGGATGCTGCTTAATCTATATGGTTTTGTATACCTTAAAGAGCCTGCAGTTTGGGACAATTCTGCATCTTCAGTTATCACTGGACTTCCCTTTAGGGGAAGCTTTATAGCTTTATATAACCAATAATATGTAAGAGTGGAAAGGACTGTGTTTGAGGAATTACTTCTAGTATAACCAGCTTCAACCATTCCAGGCCAGCTGAATTTATATGTGTTTTACATGTGGCTACGTTTAAAGAGTGTTGAAGAGCTCCAACAAGAGCCAGTTTGGTATAGTGGTTAAGGCACCAGCCTAGAAATCAAGGTCATGAGTTCTAGTCCCACCTTAGGCACAAAGCCAGCTGGGTGATCTTAGGCCAGTCACTCTCTCTCAGCCCTAGGAAGGAGGC